TACTAACTACTAACTACTACCAACTACTACCTACTACTACCTACTACTACCTACTACTACCTACTACTACCTACTACTACCTACTACTACCTACTACTACCTACTACTACCTACCTACTACTACCTACTACTACCTACTACTACCTACTACTACCTACTACTACCTACTACTACCTACTACTACCTACTACTACCTACCAGTAGTACCGCACAAGGCGGTGGCGCTCTCTTTCTCTGGCTATCTACCTACCTACCCATCTATTTTCTATGTATCTATCTATCTGTTGATCTAGCTATCTATCTATCTATCTGTTGATCTAGCTAGCTATCTATCTATCTAATCTAATCTAATCTAATCTAATCTAATCTAATCTAATCTATCTATCTATCTATCTATCTTATCTTATCTTATCTTATCCTTTCTTATCTTATCTTATCTTATCTTATCTTATCTATCTATCTATCTATCTCTCCATCTATCGATCTATTGTTGTTGTAGTTGTAGTTGTTGTGGTTGGTGTTGTTGTTGTTGTTGCTGTTGCTGTTGCTGTTGCTGTTGCTGTTGTCGTCGAAGGTAGGGTAGTTAAGTTAGTGAAGTTAGTTAAGTTAGTCAAGTTAGTTAAGTTAATCAGTGTCTACTTTTTCGACATCTTCACGTCAAAAAAAGGCTCAAAACCCTCAGTTTTTTACACTTTTGACTTCGAAATGTGCTTCGCGCCACAACGGCGTGCACTTTTTCGACACTTTTTTTCGACCTCCTGAACTCAAAAGTGGTCCGAGACCTTCAGTTTGTAACACTTTTGACTTGGACAATGGCTTCGCGCCACAAAGGCGTTGCACTTTTTCAACATCGCAACTTCCAAAAGTCGTCCGACACTGAGGTGTTTTCTACATTTTCACTTCGAAATGTGCTTCGCGCCACAACGGCGTGCACTTTTTCGACATCGCAACTTCCAAAAGTGGTCCGACCATGGTGCGTTTTGCACATTTTGACTTCGAAATGTGCTTCGCGCCACAACGGCGTGCAATTTTTCATCTCTCCTCTGACCAACTGCGCCGCACCCGCCGCTTTAGCGCGCCTACTTTTCGACCACCCGGAGCCACAAATCATTGGAAAAACACAGTGCTTCGCGACTTTCCTACCTTTTCGCGCATCTGCGTCTTCTGTCTTCTTACTGAATCTTGCTTTCTGATATTCTCTCTTTGAACTTCCTCTTCTTCTTGCCTCTGCCCCTGACTCTGCCTTTCATCGGTACATATTGTCGAGAAGTTTGACTTCTTAACCTTCCTTCGGCTACTACCTACTATACCTACTACTACCTACTACTACCTACTACTTACCTACTACTACCTATAATACCACTAATACCACACTTTACATACATTAACTACCTACTACTACCTGCTACTACCTGCTACTACCTGCTACTCCTACCTGCTACTCCTACCTGCTACTCCTACCTGCTACTTCTACCTGCTACTCCTACCTGCTACTCCTACCTGCTACTCCTACCTGCTACTCCTACCTGCTACTCCTACCTGCTACTGCTACCTGCTACTGCTACCTGCTACTGCTACCTGCTACTGCTACCTGCTACTGCTACCTGCTACTGCTACCTGCTACTGCTACTGCTACTCCTACTGCTACTGCTACTGCTACTGCTACTCCTACTGCTACTCCTACTGCTACTCCTACTGCTACTGCTACTGCTACTGCTACTACTACTACTACTACTACTACTGCTACTACTACCACTACTACCACCACTACCACTACGACTACGACTACCACTACCTACTACCTACTACCTACTACCTACCACCTACAACCTACTACCTACTACCTACTACCTACTACCTACTGCCTACTGCCTACTGCCTACTGCCTACTACCTACTACCTACTACCTACTACCTACTACCTACTGCCTACTGCCTACTGCCTACTGCCTACTGCCTACTGCCTACTACCTACTACCTACTACCTACTACCTACTACCTACTACCTACTACCTGCTACCTACTACCCACTACCCACTACCCACTACCCACTACCCACTACCGACTACCTACTACCTACTACCTACTACCTACTACCTACTACCTACTAACTACTGCTACTGCTACTGCTACTGCTACTACGACTACTACGACTACTACTACTACTGCTACTACTACTACTACTGCTACTACTACTACCACTACTACCACCACTACCACTACGACTACGACTACCACTACCTACTACCTACTACCTACCACCTACAACCTACAACCTACTACCTACTACCTACTACCTACTACCTACTACCTACTGCCTACTGCCTACTGCCTACTGCCTACTACCTACTACCTACTACCTACTACCTACTACCTACTGCCTACTGCCTACTGCCTACTGCCTACTGCCTACTACCTACTACCTACTACCTACTACCTACTACCTACTACCTACTACCTGCTACCTACTACCCACTACCCACTACCCACTACCCACTACCCACTACCGACTACCTACTACCTACTACCTACTACCTACTACCCTACTACCTACTACCTACTACCTACTACCTACTACCTACTACCTACTGCTACTGCTACTGCTACTGCTACTGCTACTACGACTACTACGACTACTACGACTACTACTACTACTACTACAACTACTACTACTGCTACTACTACTACTGCTACTGCTACTGCTACTGCTACTGCTACTGCTACTGCTACTGCTACTACTACTACTACTACTAACTACTAACTACTAACTACTAACTACTAACTACTAACTACTAACTACTAACTACTAACTACCAACTACCAACTACCAACTACCAACTACCAACTACTAACTACCAACTACCAACTACCAACTACTAACTACTAACTACTAACTACTAACTACTAACTACTAACTACTAACTACTAACTACTAACCACTAACTACTAACTACTAACTACTGCTACTGCTGCTACTACTACTACTACTATTACTACTTCTTCTTCTACTACTACTTCTACTTGTAGGCTGCGCAAGACCACCTCATCCGGCTCCGCGACCACTGCTCCGCGACCACATTAACATGGAACGACCTGCGGGGGGAGGCTCTGCGCCCTCCCCCTGCACCCCCTCCCGGTTGTTTATAGGCACCGCCACGCGCAGCTGCGCAACACCACCTCTTCCACAACATCACACAAGGAGGCAACAAAAAGCACCATCAAAGCACACAAGCGCAGCTCGGCGGCATCGTCCCTCCCCCTATTTTGTCTGCCACCCAATATCTACTCTTACCCGGCTACTACCGATCATGTTGCACATTTGTGACCACTACCACTACGCACCTTTGCTACCGTTACCACTTTACACTCACTACGGCCACTGTCTATACCACAGCCACTACCGACTATGTTGCACCATTCTACCACTACCACTACGGTGCACACTACCACCTACGCCTCTTCGTCACCCTCCTGAACTGTCGCGGCTAGATTCTACAACGCTCTACATATAAACCAAACGTCGTCAACCGACATCAACATTCGTTCGCAGAAGTACGGAACGCCCTGCGGGAGGAGGCGCTGCGCCCTCCCCCCTGCACCCCCCTCCCGCTTGTTTATAGGCACCGCCACGCACAGCTGCGCAACACCACCTCTTCCACAACATCACACAAGGAGGCAACAAAAGCACCATCAAAGCACACAAGCGCAGCTCGTCGGCGTCGTCGTCGGAGTCGTCGTCGTCGGCGTCGTCGTCGGCATCGCCGGCGTCGTCGTCGGCGTCGTCGTCGTCGGCGTCGTCGTCGGAGTCGTCGTCGTCGAGGCGGTTGGCGCAGGCACGAGGAACGAGTGAGAGCGACGAGTGGTAGTGGTCGCACGGGTGCAACATGATCGGTAGTAGCCGGGTAAGGGTGGATAGTGATGCTACTTAGTGTCTGCCACCCACTATCCACCCTTACCCGGCTACTACCGATCATGTTGCACCCGTGCGACCACTACCACTCGTCGCTCTCAGTCGTTCCTCGTGCCCGCGCCAACCGCCTCGACGACTCCTCCTCCTCCTCCGCCTCCTCCTCCGCCTCCGCCTCCGCCTCCGCCGCCGCCTCCTCCTCCCCCTCCCCTTACTCTGCGCCACTGATGCTACTCACTGAACCGTCGCAAAAAACCCTCGCTGAACCGTTGCAAAAAACCCTTCCCCGTGGAGACGGTTGCAAAAAAAACCCAGACTTTCTCGTAAAGTTGCAACTGTTTGGAAAAGCCCCTGTTACTGTCGCTAAAAACCCCCTTCCCCATTCTGAGAATTGCAGCAAAAGGCGCTGCCTGTTGTTTTTGGTGATTGCCTGAACGGGCCTCCCAAACTCCAGGACACTGTGTTGCCTGCGCTCGACCCTTGCCCTGTCTTCAGCATGTCTAGGTGCTACCTCATGGCTCGGCGCGCCGGCTACCAAAGCCCACAAAAAAATATGGGCACTACCACTAGCAACTACAAGAAGTCAAATCCCCACAGTGAAAGGGCCATCCCCCGGAAATCCAAGTGTTGCATCAAAGTTCATTATGGATTGGTGGAGGGAGATTGGAAGACTCCTTTGTCTGCAGCGCCATACAGTGAAATTGAATTTTGGCGGAAGGAAGCCATGCTGTCCAGCAAGTCCAAGGACAAGGATGACCCAGTTCGAAGTCCATCGTCTGAGCCTGGGCATCTCAGCCAGAAGGTAGAGTCCTTCGAAATCCATGGACTCATAGATTGGGTCATGAGGGACCGGTGGACGGGTGTTGACAGATCTGGTGGGATCATCTGCAACATTCAAGCGAGTGGGACGGAAATGGTTTGAGGGGAAGATTCCATAGGCAATGGCGATCGCCATGATCTTTCTAAGAAGTGGTGCCAGTGCCTTTGATGAGTTCCTCCCTTTTGAAGCTGCAAATAGGGCCACTGAGGAGTCCAGAAGAAAACAGAATCTCCCTCCTCCTTGGTGAGCCGCTCTCTGAATTGCTTGCAAGATATGAGGCCAGCTCGAGGATGTTTATATGGTTCATCCCCGTCCATTTCCAGCAGGAGTCAGTCTTCCAAGCCTCGCATCTAATGACTTCATTGACCAGTGGCTCCGCTAACCCCTGAACGTCGATGTCACATGCTTGATGCAGGCTTGCTTCAAAACTCAGGTGAACATGGAAAAGCTGTCCCAAGGCTCTAACCAGGCCTGGGCAATAGACTGCTGTGCCCTTTGTGAGCTGCCCCTCTATTTTGACATGGGAGTGGTCTCTGCTGCATCTCCTACTGACAGAGTCTGGGACCGTGTTGGCTGTGAGGAAGCGGAATTCCTTCTGGCGGATGCTGCCAAAAGCGCAGGAGGCAGGGGACACCTCTCTTATGCCCTCTAGCGTCAGGAGGTAGAGCCACTCCTGCAACCAAACCATTTTCGACCTCCTTGGTGTCTCCAGCAGACCAAAGACCTCTGCATAAAGTGCCGCCCAGAGGAGGGCCAGGCCTCTGAAAGCCAGCCTGTTGCCAACCCAAACCTTTGGGTTTTCCTTGCAAAATCCTCTTGGCTCCTTGTAAGATCTGACTGCCGGGCGCGCTGCTGGTGAAAAGCTTGTGCACGGTGGTTCTATGGCTGTGGCTCTGATCCTCTTGTGCTGGATCATAAAAAGCAACCATCCAGGTAACCATCCAAAAACTCTGTCTGATATCAAGTCATACTGCTTGCTGTAGGTGATGTCAATGATTGGCCCTACCACGTATCCTCTGCAAGACATCTCATCTGAAAGGACACCACTCCTCCCGCACACTTCCAAAAAATCGAAGAGTTGTGCTAGGGGTCTCTCCACAGGGGGGCCTCCTCTCCTTCTTTGCAACCCCTTCTTTGCAACCCTCCTCTGCTTCTTTTCCCAATCCTCTTCCTCAGCTGCCTCAAACTCTCTGATGAAAGTCCTGGGCCAGCTCTGCAAAAACGATCTGTTGCCTTTGAAATCTCCTGAAAGCCAAATGGCCCTACTGACTTCTTCCTTGACATCACAGCTGCAGGAAGCCCCTTTCTCCTTGGAGGCGTCTGGTGCAAAAACGGTGGAGGGTTTGAGCTTGCCACCGGGAGAATGGCTGCAGCTATAGCTAACTCATTTGCATGGCTTCTAGGCATCTGGAAGAGGGTATTTGAAGTGGGCGAACTGGGCTCATTTGGAACAGTCTTGAAGACCTTCTCTAGCACTTCAGTCATAATGTGTAGCCTTTCTTGTTGTCGGCGTAATAGTCCTATTTCTCTTCCTGGCTGTAGGACCAGTTGACGGGGTGTCGCAGTCCCTCCCTAGCCTGCTCATCCTCGTGCATTGGGTTTGGTCATTGACAGGACGTGCCGCAGGTTTGGAATTCACTGGCCTTATTCGGGAATGCAAAGTGACGAGCCCGCTGTAGGCCTGTTTGTCGGTCATAACCTGCCATCTGTTTACGCAATCCGTCGCTGGTTCACAAGGCTCACCACACTGTGTCCAGTCAGGGGGTTGCGTACTGTGCTCCAACACGCCAGTCGCTCACTGTAGATGTTGTATTTGGTCAAGAGATGCATGTAGAGCAAAGGCAACAAGTCCATAGGCCCTGTGGTGAGTACAACAAACCGGCGAGGGCTGACCCACCTCATGACCTGGGTATTGCCACAACAGGTTGCCCGGAAGGGGTAGAAGGGTGTCCCCTGTTCGCAGGCGGGCACACTTGTAAGTATTCAGGATCTGTCGACGTTTCATCCAACTGCGCAAAATCACACTTTGGACTGGCCAATGTAGGCTACTGTTGCAGCCGGTATCGCCATTGGTAAGAAATCATCAATTATAACAGTCCATAGCTCACTGTGTGCTACGACTGTGTGCTCCAGCAGGGACCATTGCACTTGCCACTTCTCCTTTGGTCTCCTAACCTCCAGTTGCCCAGTGTGTTTCAAGACCGGAAGGCCATCTCTGCTACCAAGCAGTTGCATGCAATATGACATGGCTTGTAGGCGTAGGCCACGTTACCAGTGGAAGCATGTGCGAGCATAAGAACTTTGCAGGGCTGATTCAGGCCGATTACCAACTTCAACAATTGAGCCAAGACATCCAATAGTTCAGCCAAGGTACCTGCTATGTCTCTACCTGTCTCCCTGAAGTTGCCTGAGACACGGAAACAACCAAATCAAAAATAAGCTTCGGTGGTATCCCAAACAGCCGCAACGTTTTGTTTTTACAAATCTTTCTGAAGCGTGCTGCGAAGCAAAGCGCTGGAAACACCACAGCTGGGTTTCCGTGAATTAAATGGCCGCAATTCCTTTATTCCACTAGGTTTCCAAAAGGGGAACCTGGAACCTGCGAGCGACTACGCGTTATTACCGCACACAAACCCATGTTCAAAATTAAACAATCCACTTGGAAAAAGTGTATGTATATATATATATATATATATCAACCCGTACTTTATAACAAGTACGAATGTATATATATATACATATACACATGCAAAACTGTGGAAACAAAATGAGTGCCGACGAAATGGACATCAAACGCATTGCCTTTTTTCCCGAGAGCGTCTGAGCGCAGGGTTCTTCCAATAGTGGGGGTCTGTAAAACATCTTCTCATCTTCACATCTTCTCTCACATCTGCTCATCTTCACATCTTCTCTCACATCTTCTCTCACATCTGCTCATCTTCACATCTGCTCATCTCTTCTCTCACATCTTCTCTCACATCTGCTCATCTTCACATCTGCTCATCTTCACATCTTCTCTCACATCTTCTCTCACATCTGCTCATCTTCACATCTTCTCTCACATCTTCTCTTACATATTCTCTCCCATCTTCTCTCACATCTTCTCTCACATCTGCTCATCTTCACATCTTCTCTCACATCTGCTCATCTTCACATCTGCTCCTCTTCACATCTTCTCTCACATCTGCTCATCTTCACATCTGCTCATCTTCACACCCTCTCTCACATCTGCTCATCTTCACATCTGCTCATCTTCACATCTGCTCATCTTCACACCTTCTTTCACATCTTCTCATCTTCACATCTGCTCATCTT